GAAGCGCCAGCACTGGCTTCCCGCTGCAGGGGGGGTGGGCGAGCCTCGTGGGCTGGATCTGATTTGCGGGGGAAGGAAGCAGCTCCGTGCACTGCCACTCCCCTTCCCCCCAGCTGGGGAAACAGCAGCACAGGAAACCGCTCACCTGGAGGCTCTCCCCACTGCTCCCCTTGGCTGGAATTCACAGACAATGGGAGCAGCAGAGGGTGGAGCCTGGGAGCAGCAGGAGGCATGGAGCCAGGTAAGTGCTTCCCCCCTCCCCGTTCCCCTCATGCCCAGACCCTGCATCCCCACCACCTCACTCCTGCACCCCCCCTTCCACCCAGACCCCCCACAGCCTGCTCTTGCATCCTACCTCCCAGCCAGGCCTCCATCTCACACTCATTTTGTCATCATGGGTGGTTGGCTGGTGGTCTGCAGAAAGGTCTGTGTTGAGGGGGATGGGCTATGGGCCAAGAAAGTTTGAGAACCACTGGTCCAGAACATGGAAAGGGGCCACTGGCTTGAAAATGCCACCACGTGTCCCCAGCTCTGAGGGCTGCCCACGTCCAAGTCCTGCCTCCCAGGTTCGGGTGGGCAGACCAGCTCTGTGCCTGTCCAGGGGATACAGCCTGGCTAACGAAAGCTACAGTGGGAAACGGGGAAGGTCTCTCTCACCCCTCTGTTTAGAACCTTCATTCCCTGCCAAGCTGTGCTAGCAGGCCGGGGTGCTCATCTTCATCCCATGGCAGTGCATGGCCCTGGGGCAGCCGTGTTTCCTGGGGATGGTCCCAGGTCGCTTTTATTCTGGGGCACCTGCTGTGGCAGGGAGCTGTGGGGGCCGGTGAAGAAGCAGCTGGGCTGGGGAGCTGAGCGATTGCAAGCACGGGAGGTGGAAAGGCCCGGGGGTGTCTGGGAGCAGCGGCTTTCTGGCCTGTTCTGTAACCTTCGGCTCTGCCGCTGTCCTAGCCATGGAGTGCGAGTTTCCTCCGGGAGATGGGCTGGAGCACCGCATCCTTGCCAACCCCCTGCGAGATTTGGTGGGCCTGCAGGCGGACCGAGGCCATCAGCTGTTCCAGCGCTACCGGCAGAAGCACAGGAAGGAGTACAGCAGCGAGAAGGAGCTTGCGCTCAGAGCACACGCCTTCATTCACAACATGAGGTGCAGGACTCCGGGGAGGAGGGCTCCTAGGATGCCATGCCGGTTTGCAGGGATGGGACGGGGAACAGGAGGGTGTGAATGTGTTATCCTGGATTAGCCTGGCTCCTCTTGCCTGGCTGGATGGATTGAAGGGTGCACCGAAGGGTCCGGCCAGCCCAGCGTGACAGGTTGATCCTGCTCCAGAGATCATACCCAATGGGCCAATCATAGCACTGAGCTCACCGACCTGCCTGCTGGGGTACCCCACCACCTGTCCTGCTGGGCCAGAAGCTCTGGTCCTCCCCACCTAGCAAAAGGACAAAGTTGGGGTAACAGCCTGCTTAGGATTGTGGAGCAACAGAAACCCTGATAATAGCTCTGGGAGGGCTCAGCAGCAGGGACATGGCAGCCCCCCAAAGGGACTAAACCCCCAGATAAATCTGCCTTACTCGCTGTAAGGGTTTGTCTACACTAGCCCCCTAGTTTGAACTAGGGAGGCTAATGTAGGCATTCGAAGTTGCAAATGAAGCCCGGGATTTAAATATCCCGGGCTTCATTTGCATCTTCCCGGGCGCTGCCATTTTTAAATGTCCCTTAGTCCGAACTCCGTGCCCACGGCTACACACCGCACGGAGTAGGTAGTTCGAATGAGGATCTCTAATTCAAACTACCGGTACCTAGTACCGAGATCCTAATTCAAACTGCCACAGGCACAGAGTTCGGACTAAGGGACATTTAAATCCTGGGCTTCATTTGCAACTTCGAATGCCTACATTAGCCTCCCTAGTTCGAACTAGGGGGCTAGTGTAGACAAACCCTAAGAGTTTTACACCGAGGAACCTCACAGAGTTCACCTCCTTTATCAATGGAAGAGCGATATGCCGCTTCCCGCCAGGTAACCATTTACACTGGGTTTGATACTAAACAAAAGTGTTTTAATTAAGTATAAAAAGTAGGATGTAAGTGATTGCAAGTGAAAAGAGTGAGATCAAAGCAAGTTACTAAAATCAAATAAACAAAACACACCAGCTAAGCTTAATACACGAAGAGAGATTGTTATAAATCACATTTCTATACACTATGTCTATCAGGGATGGTCTAGACAGTATTTGGTCCTGCCATGAGGGCAGGGGACTGGACTCGATGACCTCTCGAGGTCCCTTCCAGTCCTAGTATTCTATGATTTCTCACCCTGGTCCTTATTTCAGGTGAAATCCATCAGGTCAGAGCTGATATTTTCTCTGGCCGGGGTTTAATAGTTTCTTCTGGGGAGCAAGTTTTCAAAAGCCCACTGAAGCCAATCCTTGTTTGCTTCCATCTTTTAAATAGAATCGCCCCCAGGGCCGGAATCCTTTGTTTCATCCTCCCCCACCCAAGGGAAAAATACCAAATTCAGGATGGCTTCCAGCACCAGGTGGCAGGGTCACATGTCTTTGTAGGCCCAATCACAGTTTAGGCTTATGGGAAAAACAAAACCATTCACAGATTTTTGTCTTGAGCGCCAGGCCGTTAAACCCCTTCAGTACCACTAATAGCTCTCACTAGAAATTTTAGCTTAATAAGCTTCGTGTTTCTGACTTCACACACAAGAATGATACACACAAATACACTACACACACGCAGGGATCACAGGCTCTGGAGTGATAGGTTACTTGCCCTGTTTTGCATAAAGCCTATTCAAGTTATGCATATTCATATTCAAAACCATATTTCCATAAAAGGCCCTTCCTACAATGTCAGCACCAGGCTTGTTGAATGAAACCTCTTCTTGCTTCCCTGCCCTTGACGGTTAGATGCTGATTCTCCAGGACTCCACTCCCTGCCCTGTGTCGCGTCTTCTGATAACTCTCGTAGAACCGAGAGCCCCAGAGATTGGGGTAGGCCCTGCCTCCCTGTGCTCCCCGCTCCTAACTAGGAGGAAGAGTAGACCCAGGATCAGTGCGAATCAGGCCCTAAGCATCTAGCCATCACTTGAGATGCCTGTCCTGGGAGGGGGCTGACTGCTGTGTGCCGGCTGTCAAGCAAAAAGCAGCGGTTATTTGAGTGGGTGTGTGCCCGGCTGTTGCAAAGACGTGCATGAGTCTCCCGGGGCTGCCTACCAGCCTGAGCTGCCCGGCTTCCCCCGTCTTCACATCATCCCTCCCCTCCCAGGTACTTCCACTCGAAGAATCGGGCCAACCTGCCCTACAAGCTGGTGCTGAACCACCTGGCCGACCGCACCCCGGAGGAGATGGCCGTGCTGCGGGGGCGGCTCAAGAGCGGGGCTCCCAACAATCCCGTGGGCATCGTACGCTGGCCTCAACCTGCCTGAGAGCCTGGACTGGAGGCTGTTCGGTGAGGACGCCTCCCTCGGGCTGCCTCAGCCCCCCACTGAGCCCTTCTCCTCCTGCAGTCG